TTCATTCATTCATCCATTCATTCATTTAAACAAATTGATTTCATGGGGAAAAAAAAATTCTATAATCGTTGATGGTTGACAACTGCTGTTTTGTTAAGATTTAATTTGGCTGAAAAGTAAATAAGCACAATTGTTCTGCTTTGTCAGGAGGTCTATGTGTTTTCTCAGTTGTCTAAAGCATATACATACACACCTAAATCTGTGCAGCTCTCAAACAGATGCCTTGTACACATTTGCTCTTATTAAGCAGTCCATTTGCAGTGCACATTGAGTCTGTTAACTTCTTAAAACACAGCCACTTATTATCCATGGCCAAGGTTAGGCACAGTGGATCAAAGAGGCTGCGCTGAATCCAGCTGCTCGGAGAGCTCTGTCACTCTGCCTGTGTGTGTGTGTGTGTGTGTGTGTGTGTGTGTGTGGTCTAACACTGTGCTTGCCATTCATTCCATCTATGGTTTGTGCAAGCCCACAGATCCTAATAGCAGTTTCAGTCCCATCATTTAACATTTAAACAACACTGCAGCATTTAGAAACAGATATGAGGAACTTTATTTTGGATAGAGCACACTTGAGACTTATGGAAATAAATGTAATTACTGTGGAATAAACAGTTTGGCAGTTGTTGGACCTCCGATTGCTTTTGTCAGGCATTTGCATATCTATCTATACCATTTGTTCCATTATCATATCTATCCTGTTAAAATCAAGGGGAGATAAGTCCAGTGCCACCTGTGATGTGTGTATTTGGAGGGGGAGCACATGATCTGTGATTTAGCTTGAGATAATAACACAAGTTTTAGCAGTGCTCTTTTCAATAAAGAATATTTAAAAATGAACTGTAGGCTCTTAAGAGTAAATATTCCTTATTGGAATCAAAGGATCCGTTAAGAACCTTTAACATCCATGGAATCTTTGCAGTTCTTTACAGTGGAAAAATGTTCTTTCGATTATTCAAATTTCGTAACTTTTTGGAACTTCCTTGAAAGGTTCTTCGGGGAACCAAAAATGGTTCATTTATGTGAAAACACCCATTTGGAGCCTTTGTTTTGAAAAGTGTGGGGTGTTAATGGGAGGCGCATTAAATCTAAATGTTTAAAGGGAGTTTTAGAGATTTCGACATCCAGCAACCATGGTGAGTCATTTTAATGATGTCACAACTCTTGAACTTACAAATGCTGACCAGTGCACATGTGTGTGTGTGTGTGTGTGTGTGTAGGGTCGGGTCAGGGAGGGATAGTTGTGTCTGAGCGGGTCAGGTACTCGGCGCCACTGATGCCTCATCGCTGAGAGACGAGGAAGGGTGCCGAGTGAAACCTCCCATCTGCTTCTTCACTCTGAGACAGTAATACTATTGAGCCAAATGCTCTGCTGATATTGCCATTTACAGCAGGATTTCCTCTGTGAAATAAACCTCACCTCTCTGCTGTTGTTGCCATTTACTGGATTTTATGCTAATATTCTAGCTGATCTCTTTCGCTTGTTGGTCTCTGATTATAAATTTAAATCATTATTCCCCTGCAGTATTTTTGAAAACCCTCTTTAGTTTTCATGCAATAGGCTACTTATACATTTTTAGATATGATGCAGTCATAAGGCCTGTTATATTTGGACTGCATCTTGCATAAGGACTTGAAGTGGGTGGGATGCTATTTTAGATTGTGTAGCAACAGTTTCCTGGAACTGGGTACTTTTAAAGATCAATGTTGATGTCATCTGTAATGTTCTAATAAAAGCTGACAAAGTTTTTGTGTGCATGTGGGTGTGCATGTGTGTTTACTAAACTGAAAAATGTCTAATAAAAAAATAAAGTAACTTAACCATTTACAAATAATATGCATTGTGATTTAAATGAAAGCAATTGGATAAGAAATAAAAATTAAATAAAAATGTCTTTGTTGATGACAAATAGCCTACTAATACCAATACCTTCCCATAGTTCCCAATATATATTTATTTATTTACAAATAAATAAATAAATAAATAAATGATAGATAGATAGATAGATAGATAGATGATAGATAGATAGATAGATAGATAGATAGATAGATAGATAGATAGATAGATAGATAGATAGATAGATAGATAGATAGATAGATAGATAGATAGATAGATAGATAGATAGATAGATAGATAGATAGATAGATAGATAGATAGATAGATAGATAGATAGATAGATAGATAGATAGATAGATAGATAGATAGATAGATAGATAGATAGATAGATAGATAGATAGATAGATAGATAGATAGATAGATAGATAGATAGATAGATAGATAGATAGATAGATAGATAGATAGATAGATAGATAGATAGATAGATAGATAGATAGATAGATAGATAGATAGATAGATAGATAGATAGATAGATAGATAGATAGATAGATAGATAGATAGATAGATAGATAGATAGATAGATAGATAGATAGATAGATAGATAGATAGATAGATAGATAGATAGATAGATAGATAGATAGATAGATAGATAGATAGATAGATAGATAGATAGATAGATAGATAGATAGATAGATAGATAGATAGATAGATAGATAGATAGATAGATAGATAGATAGATAGATAGATAGATAGATAGATAGATAGATAGATAGATAGATAGATAGATAGATGGATAGATAGATGGATAGATAGATATACAGATAGATAGATGATAGATGGATAGATAGATGATAGATAGATAGATAGATAGATAGATAGATAGATAGATAGATAGATAGATAGATAGATAGATAGATAGATAGATAGATAGATAGATAGATAGATAGATAGATAGATAGATAGATAGATAGATAGATAGATAGATAGATAGATAGATAGATAGATAGATAGATAGATAGATAGATAGATAGATAGATAGATAGATAGATAGATAGATAGATAGATAGATAGATAGATAGATAGATAGATAGATAGATAGATAGATAGATAGATAGATAGATAGATAGATAGATAGATAGATAGATAGATAGATAGATAGATAGATAGATAGATAGATAGATAGATAGATAGATAGATAGATAGATAGATAGATAGATAGATAGATAGATAGATAGATAGATAGATAGATAGATAGATAGATAGATAGATAGATAGATAGATAGATAGATAGATAGATAGATAGATAGATAGATAGATAGATAGATAGATAGATAGATAGATAGATAGATAGATAGATAGATAGATAGATAGATAGATAGATAGATAGATAGATAGATAGATAGATAGATAGATAGATAGATAGATAGATAGATAGATAGATAGATAGATAGATAGATAGATAGATAGATAGATAGATAGATAGATAGATAGATAGATAGATAGATAGATAGATAGATAGATAGATAGATAGATAGATAGATAGATAGATAGATAGATAGATAGATAGATAGATAGATAGATAGATAGATAGATAGATAGATAGATAGATAGATAGATAGATAGATAGATAGATAGATAGATAGATAGATAGATAGATAGATAGATAGATAGATAGATAGATAGATAGATAGATAGATAGATAGATAGATAGATAGATAGATAGATAGATAGATAGATAGATAGATAGATAGATAGATAGATAGATAGATAGATAGATAGATAGATAGATAGATAGATAGATAGATAGATAGATAGATAGATAGATAGATAGATAGATAGATAGATAGATAGATAGATAGATAGATAGATAGATAGATAGATAGATAGATAGATAGATAGATAGATAGATAGATAGATAGATAGATAGATAGATAGATAGATAGATAGATAGATAGATAGATAGATAGATAGATAGATAGATAGATAGATAGATAAATAGATAGATAGATAGATAGATATTGTTCTCATTGTTCACTATTTATTTATTTATTGTTTAAAACATAAATTGTATAACCTTTGAATATTTAAAATATGCAGTGAACTTAAACTGATTTTGATATTTTTCAAACCGATTGATATTCTATAAAATAATTATATTTAAAATAATTATAAGGTAGGCTATTTATTTATTTATTATTTTAGGTTATAGGCTATTATAAGACACTGTTTGTTCAGCACAACATATGTATAAGTTACTTTCAGTAGGCTATTCTGTCTAGATTAGCTTCATTATTTCATTATTTGACACTCTGTCAGTGTACTATTTCGTTCTTAATGGTTCTTTCTTTTTTAAACATTTTTGTAAAATAAATCGAGGGAAAGCGCGGAGCATTTTGAGCATTTTGTTAAAATGATTGTGTAGTTATCCTACAATAAGTTATGGGCTACGGCGCGTAATTTTCAGCATGAAAACTGTGTTAAGCACGTAAGAGTTCTTAAACTTGAGCGTTTATGACATGCATTGTTGATGCTGCATAATCATTTTTCGGGTTAACTTGGACATATGTGATCTTGCTCGGGCAAGTCCGTGGGTGCTGCATGTCAAACGCATTGGGATGGAAATGAGAGTCCTCGAATCGTCCAACTAATAGACAGTTGTTCACACCTTCGCATCCAATATCAATTTATCCGTACAGGGCAAAAACACAGGTCCTGACATGTCAGACCGAGACGTTCCATGTTTCATTTTAAAAGTAGTAAACCCCCCGAAAAGTTATACCTATATCCTCGGGTATACAGTAGTATAGTTTATTCGCGATAAATAAATAGTCTAAATAAATAAATAAAACTGTAAAGCTGAGCTCTATCAAGATAATCCTCTATTCTCTTTTTGCAGCCTTATTTACAGCAGTGATTTGCGACTGTGATGCCCCTTCTGAATGTACGTGCTGTTTATCAGCAGTTCTGCTTGTAAACTATTTGTGTTTACTTGTTATTTTTATATTTCGTTCTCTAATCCCCTGGGTTTTTCCTGAGGAGCTGCAGTGCTGAGATCGAGTTAAGGGGCGGGGTCTCCGGGGCAGAGGGGCGTGGTCAGGGGCGAAGGGAGGGGAGTGTGAGATCCTGAGGGTTTAAAAGCCACAGTTTGTCCAGCTGAAAGCACATTCTGACCTGAACACATCACAAGCTGACTTCTCTGTGATCATTACTTTAGATACTTTAAACACCGAAAGATCCTCGAAGGAATGAATGCCATGGACAACATGACTGCTGACTACAGCCAAGATGACTACGACGAGACAGTAAACAACTCAATGTGTGATTTTGACGAGTGGGAACCGTCATATTCGCTGATTCCTGTGCTCTACATGCTCATCTTCATCCTGGGCCTCACTGGGAACGGTGTGGTCATCTTCACCGTATGGCAGGCTCAGTCCAAGCGGAGAGCTGCGGACGTCTACATTGGAAACCTGGCTCTTGCTGACCTTACCTTTGTGGTGACCCTGCCACTGTGGGCTGTCTACACCGCCCTGGGATACCACTGGCCCTTTGGCGTGGCCCTCTGCAAGATCAGCAGCTATGTGGTGTTGCTCAACATGTACGCCAGTGTCTTCTGCCTCACCTGCCTGAGCCTGGACCGCTACATGGCCATCGTTCACTCCCTCACCAGCACACAGCTGCGGACCAGAGGACACATGCGGGCCTCGCTGGCCACCATCTGGCTCCTCTCAGGTGTGCTGGCTGCACCGACACTGCTGTTTCGCACCACGGTGCTCGACGCCATGACCAACCGCACCTCCTGCGCCATGGACTTCAGCCTGGTGGTGAGCAAACCGGGCCAGGAGATCTTTTGGATCGCCGGCCTCAGCATCTCCTCCACCGCTCTCGGCTTTCTGATCCCCCTTCTGGCCATGATGGTGTGCTACGGATTCATCGGCTGCACCGTCACACGTCACTTCAACAGCCTGCGCAAGGAGGACCAGCGCAAGCGTCGCCTGCTCAAGATCATCACCACATTGGTGGTGGTGTTCGCTGCCTGCTGGATGCCCTTTCACGTCTTGAAGACCATGGATGCTCTTTCGTACCTGAACCTCGCTCCTGACTCCTGCACCTTCCTGAAACTCCTTCTTCTGGCTCATCCCTACGCAACCTGCCTGGCGTATGTCAACAGCTGCCTCAACCCGCTCCTCTACGCCTTCTTCGACCTCCGCTTCCGCTCCCAGTGCCTCTGCCTCCTCAACCTGAAGAAAGCCCTTCACGCCAGTCCTGCCAGCTCCCTTTCTTCACAGAAGACCGAGGCCCAGTCGCTGGCTACTAAGGTATGAGGAGGTGGGTGGAAGGGTGATGCAAACAAGTCAACAACTGTTACATCCTTCACAAGAACTCAATTGTTGGGGACAAGCAGACTTTCCTTTTGTATCTGACTGTGGGAACTTGAGGAACCAGCTTCCCCTGTCCCGGGACTAAACACTGGTACTCTGTGAACCGTTCTGGTTCTGAAGAACTTGATGCAGTCTGTTTGTCCTGGAGACCACAAGCAGACCGGAGCAGACCCCCACTGACAGCTGCGCTCCAGACGTGTGGGACAGAGTTGGGGAGAACGAGCGAGGGCTTTTCTGCTTTTCTCTTAGTTGCCTCTGGAGCTTCATAGACTTACATGGAGCTGCAGGGTGGTGGGTGGTCCACGGAGGGGTTCGAGAGTAATTTATGGACTCTGTACTTTTGAAACTGTATTAGTGCATTTAACCGTGCTCTTTACCATCTTGTTTTTCTTGGTTGCTTGTTTAATTTTTTGTCCTTTAAGCACTTGTTCATAAGGGGCAGAGATAAGAACGGTGTCCAGTCTGTCTTATCTAAACCATCAAGATAGGGTGGGAGGGATGGGTGCCTTACTTGAGAAGAATTGTTGCAGCTTGATTAAAGACTTTCAAGGGGGAGGTGGGTGAGACGAAAACATGGAGGGGGTGAACTCAGACAGACAGATGGCAGTTGACAAATGTTGTCGGGGAAAGGGACGTCCAATTAATAGGTGGCAGCTTTGACAGATGAGATACTGTGCGTGTAAGTGTGAGCTAATGAAATGTGTGCCAGTGAATTTTTTATTTTGACATAACCTTGTGGGAAAAAAACTGCTGTATGATGCTTTTATGCAATACTCTATGAATAAAACCTGTATAATGAATTTCTCTCTTGTGCCTCATCCGTTAAAACTCATGGATTCAACTGGAATGTTTGTAACATTCCTTCATGTGTGGTGTTTTCCTGTTAAACACGGGAATGAGGGTAGTTGCTTTGTCCCTTATTGTCCTCAAGTCAGTTCAAAATCAAAGCAAGTGACTGACAGGAAATGCATGTTTAAATCTGATTTCCTTGCGTTTCTTATTTTGTACTTTTTGTACGTCTATGTTGCATACTCAGACTCAACACTAAGGAGCAATTCATTGAGAGTATAAAAAAACACAGTATAAAAAAAGATCATGACCTAAAATATTAACCCCTTTGATGTCAAGTAATAAGCCTTTCAATAAATATCTTCACATATTTGGTCATTTTAAAAACCATTTCAATTAACCATTTATATAAGTTTTCTATTTTGGTTGTATTTATTTAATGCATTTAATTACTTGAATATATGAGTCATCCTTTTGGTATTTTGCCAAAAAAAAATATATAAATGCCTACTCTGCATATGGAGGGTCATCAGCCCCTAAACAGACCTCTGATGATTAAGCTCCCTAATAAGCTTTGGTCAGGACATAATCATTGTCGGAGAGACTGTGCTAATCTGAAGTAATTAGTGGGACTGATGTCTTCAGCATGGATTAATATCTTCATAATAAAGGGTGTGGTTATTATCAATAACATAAACAACAGAGATAAATCCAGTATGTGCATCAAGATTCAATTTAAACCACAAAAGTTGAAAACAATGAGTTCAGAACTTTATTTGCTTATATATTTACCACGTATGTAATAGTTAGAAACACAATAAAAGACAAAAAATAAAATAAAAGCATAAAAAATGAAAACATTACTTTTGAATTAAAATGTAAAAATCATTCATTTGTAAAGACATCTCACTATTTGCGTTACATTCCTCACTCTGGATAAAATGTATCTGCTAAATGAATAAATGTAAATGTAGAAGAAAACAGGCAGTTGATGAAAAGGTGAATTATATCTAATCTGAAGATTACCCCATAATAGATATTAAATAGCAGACAGACTGAACACGCTACAGTACAGAGATTATGAGGCGGGCAAAACACATGTCTGTTGAGCGGAAACAAAAAGCAGAAGCAAGAGGGAGGGACTTTAAGATAGTAGAGGAAAATGGAAAAAATAGAGGGTGTTTCTTTGATATAAATGGCCCGTAGAGACAGCACAAGTGTGTTTTGTGTGTGCAGTTGCTAGTGTGTGTGTGTGGGCTAGTGACCACCTTTGTGTTTATTTTGGTTTGTTTATTTGTTTTCTGTCAGGGCTGTGAAGTGAACCATGGGTAATAGAAGACAGGAAACTGCTGCCTGTCTTAGATGCCCAGTGAATTAAATATTTCCTAACAGTAGAATGTGAGCTTGTATGGATGAATGATTCAATAAGGAATGTATAAGTGAAAGAACAACACTAGAACAGGGTCATGTGAAGCTGCTGCATGTTTCTGGTGTCTGCTGCAAACATGTTCCATATTTCTCTGCTAACAGCTGCAGTATGTGGGCACAGATCTAATGCTGGGCTCAGTATTGCCCGCAGGTGTCAAATTATACCTTGGGGTTTCAAAGAAAATCTGGACGATAATTCCAGGGACATTTTCAAAGATGCTGTAAAGATTTAGAACAGTAATTTAATCTCCCTGATAAATGTGAATTTCATGGTGTGAAGTTGCATGTGTTAAATGAGCTGCTTCCTGTGCTTTAAAGCGAAACATATATATGGTAGAAGAGGCAAACCTGACGGTGTCAAGTCAAACAAAGGGAACATGAAATCAAACATCAAAAATCTTTTGTAACTCACTCCACTTAAAAAAGTTAATCTCTACACTTTTAGAACACCCGTTTGTTGCCTAAGTTACATTCCTTATTCCTTATCTTGACATTCTGTCTTGTGCTTCACAATGTGTGTTTGTAATAAAAAATTCATCAAGACGTTTTAACTTCTTCGTCTTCTTTCGTCTTCCTCTAGTGATTGTTGCAACCTAGAACTATCCCTTTAATATACTCAGAGAATGAGGAAGCATTTGTGAAGCTTTGTAAATACCTTGGAACAAATCAATGTTCTGTTTATTTGAGCATGGTCTCAACGAATAACATGAGTTTTGGTGGCAGAGCAGTTTGGAAGACAGGGGCAACTGTAAATCCATCGAGTGACACTAATGGTACAGAAATCACACACTTTTGTATTAGAGAAAAGACAGAAAACGATGAGATGATTGCTTGACCTACATCGATGTTTCATTGTCTTCCCCTTTCCTTTCCTGCCAGCTTTAATGTCACATGATTCACACATTGACCACCAACGCTTTCAATTTGATTGTAGTTGCATGAAATGCAACTCAGTGCAACCTAAACAATCTGAAACCAGACAGCGTACACACATTATATTATGCAACATTTATAGATCAGAGATAACTGAGATTATATGTGATAATGAGGACTGAGACTGTGGAAATGGACAGAGGAGAAAGAGTGGAGATGATGGTGGCTATCTATGACAGTGCAGATACTGTGAGACATCATGATCTCAGGACTCACGCAGAGAGACGACAACCACTTCAACACACAGGTAATGTAATTTATCAGTCAGACAAAAGTACTGTAGAATGTCTTGCAGTTTGTCGTTTTGGCTCATTTTTGTAAACATTCTTTAAACTGCTCACTCTTCAAAAATAAAGGCTCCAAAAGGGGGTTTCCACAGCGATGCTATTGAGAACCATTTTAGGTTCTTCAAAGAACCTTTCAGTGAACAGTTTTTAAAAGAACCATATTTCACACCTAGAGTGAAGAAGAGTTCAATAATATAAAGAACCTTTTGTCCATTCCATGGATGTTAAAGGTTCTTCAGTGAAGATAAATATTCCGGGGAATCTTTTTCCACTATATCTTTAGTGGAATAGAAAGATTTCATGGATGTTACAATTTTTTCATGTCACTTTACTGGCATTTTCATGAACTATAGATGCCAATAAAGTACCTTTTTAACCTATTTTTAAGAGTGTAAGTGCAAATGTCTGCAAAATCTAATAATAACTCAAACATTTAATTAATATTTCAAAGCCTAGTCATAGTGTCAGTAAATTTGCCAATACCACCAAAATAAGATTTTTTTTTTTTGTCAGTGTTATAAGATTTTATTTTAGCTATTTAGATATTTAGCTATTTCAACAGAAGGTAAAAATTGACTGCTAAAAACGAATACTGTAGTACACAGTAGAACATTTATATTATCATTTGTAAGTAAACAGTACATTTTTGTAGAAATGTATTACATATAAAATTCATGTATCAAATTTTGTAACTCAAAAATGTAGAGCTCTCAGACCCTCCATAGACAGCAACACAGGTTTCTGGACCTGGGAACATTGCAGTTGTGTTGCTGTCTATTGAGGGTCAGAGAGCTCTCAGATTTCATCACAAATATCTTAATTTGTGTTCCGAAGATGAACTAAGGTGTTACGGGTTTGGAATGACATGAGGGTGAGTAATTAATGACACAATTTTCATTTTTGGGTGAACTAACCCTTTAACCTCATGTTTGTTGTCCACAGGAAGTGTCTCAGTGAAGAACAGAAAGCATAGAGCAGCTGAAGTGTGTTTGTGTCTGCTGTGTTTTCTTCTGCTGATTGCTGTAATAGTGCTGTGTGTGTGTTTCACCTCCGAGAGAAAGCAGTTATTAACTCACATCAGTAACCTGACTGAAGAAAGAGAGAAGACACTTACCAAACATGAGCAGGTACTGAACAATAACAATAACCTGACTGAAGAACGCAAGCAAATACTTTCTAAATATGAGCAGATACTGAACCACAATAATAAATTGACTAAAGAAAGAGAGCAGATATTTACAAATAATATAAAATTAATAGCAGAGAAAGAACATTTACTGAAGGAGAACAAAATTATGACTGAAGAAAGAGAGCAGATAAAAAAGACCGGTGAACTCCAACAAGGACTTTTGGAACAAGGTAGTTCTGTGTTCATTCAAAATATTTCACCTAATTTAAATAAGTGTTGACTTAAACATCAAGTGAGAATACTGCATATGAACAAAGCTAACCTGTCTAAACTAATATCTAAACCATTCTATTAACAGATCAGCAAGAGGATCCCTTCAAATGGATTTACTACAACTTCAGTTTTTATTATATTTCATCTGAGAAGAAGAGCTGGAGTGACAGCAGCAGAGACTGTCAACAGAAAGGAGCAAATCTGGTGATCATAAACAGTTCAAAGGAACAAGTAAGTGATAAAGAAAAAGATTTTGCATTGACAGATTTTTAACTAGTAATGGTTGGTCTGTTTTTAACCATTTGAGATGTTTATGGATTATTGTTCTTTCAAAACAGGATTTTGTACAAAAGATTGCTGTTTCTGATCATTTTTGGATTGGTTTGGGAAAGATGGAGGGAGAATGGAAATGGATTGGTGGCACCATAATGGCAAATGGGTGAGAGATCACTGAATTTAACTGATCATAAGCCTGAAACCTTCTCTACAGTCAGTATCATGTAGTATTCAGAACTGACTGAAGTCTACTGAAAATAAAACGATCTGCTTCATTGTTGTTTCAGGTACTGGAGTTCTCAGTATCTGCATTCATATGGTTCATACTGTGCTCTGATTACTTCATCAGGTTGGATAGATGATAAATGTGATTATAATAAAAAATGGATCTGCAAGAGAAGAATTTTAAAATAGCTCATTACATAAAATAAATATGTACATGCAGTAAAATAAACCCATCATGTTTTGGAAAAGCAGTCACTCTGATTTGTGATTCTAACTGTATTATTGTACAGTACAGTAAGTCATTTTGAAATATGACTTATGACATTTGAAATATATATATATAATGTTATATATCTAAATAATTATAGAGATCAACTCCATTAAGGTCTCTGGATATTGGTCATGAGAAAGTGTCAGTGGTCTGGTGTCTTACTGTGAAGAGGGTCTTTTAAGCAGTTTTTCCTCCCTGCTGGTCATATCAACAGCAATCAAAGCCAGCAGACAGACTGATAGTCCCTCATTCTGCTCTGTGACTCTAGTGATAGATGGATCACTGCTGATGTGTATTTGTCTTTCCTAATCAAGGCCTCAGACTCTTAACCACTACAATTCAATTACAGAAGCTTTCATCTACTTCATTTTCCAAAAACAGTGAACTCAACAGTATCAGGTACTCAGATCCCAAATACTTACTTTACAAAGAGGGATGCTTAAAAACAGCTTAACAGTTTTGGCAAACATAAAATTTAAACATGAAATAAAACTAAATCTGTTGTGTTCTTTATCTATTAGTTTATACATATTTGTCAAATATATCAAATACATATTTCATCAGTATGTTTAAGGTAAAGTTAGTTATGTCCTGTAATTGAATCTGTTAATCACAAATCTTGCTCTCTTGAAAAACAAAACAACAGACTTTAAAGGAGATGAGCCATTTAGTACACAATACACTCATTAACTAATAAACATCACAACATCGCATTCCTGCCCCAATGGGCAATTACAAGTCCTGCCACAAGAAGCAAAAGCCAACATGACAGTTTTGATGTAACACAATAGATCTGTCAATAACACTACAGCGTGTGCTGTCTGTCCACACTTAACAGCATAACTAAAATACATCTTTTGCATCCAGTCCTTGCTTGCTTTATTTAAGTCACATCAGCTAACCACAGTTGTACATCAGGGCTCGGTGCTGGGCCCACTTCTCTTCCTAATACACACAACCTCAATGGGCCCAATCATTCAGATATTCTTATCACTACTATGGCAGTAACATGCTCTTCCTATCATTTCAGTCGGATGACCCCATGGTACCCGGAAAAATCTCAATTTGCCTTTCTGACTGATTGACCTAAATGAAATAACACCAATTTCAGCACAGTCTAATGAAGGCTAAGTCGTTTGTCATCCTAGACAGTCTGGAATTCAACACAACATCATCAAACAGCTTAGTTTAACAACACTAACACCATTGAGGCCAGTAAGAACCTTCAGACATACGTAAGTCAGATTTTTTTTCTTTTTTGAAAAAAAAAAATATATATTTTTGTTCAGCAAGGATGCATTAAATTGCATTAAATTGATCAAAATGGACAGTAAAGACTTTTACATTGTTACAAAAGAGTCATATTTCAAATGAATGAGGGAGCATAAGAGACTTTAAAAATCTTGAAAACATTAAAAATCATATAAACCTTTAAACAGTAGTATACACTAAAATGACCTGGGACAAGTAAATAAAATATCTATTTTTTAATTTACTGGCTATTTGATTTAATATGTTTTGTGTAATGCTCTGATATTTATCCATTTTGGTGTCCAGATACTTTCTGGGCCTACTTTTACTGGCTGACCTATCTGGACAAGTTTGGACATTTGTATTGCAGCGCTTTATATGTTGTAGCACTTCTCATTTATGTTGTAGAATTCCTAATTAGAAGTCACTTTGGATAAAAGCCTCTACTAAATGAATACATTTGTAAATGTAAATGTTCCTGATGGCCACAAACTGTAACCACACCTATGCAAACTGCCAAACCCTTATTAATCCTTGCAATGAATATGAATTAAAACACAGTTGGACCATGCTTAAGTATTCATATGGGCTGTTGATATTGTAGCAGAGCTAAAGCTATTGCAGTAGATGTCATTGAAGCTTGGTCAATGAGGCTTTGTGTTGATTGCGACTGTTTTGTCACTGTCCAGGTCAATCGTGAGCACAGGAAAAGAGGTGAACTAATCCTAGAGAACTCAAAAAACACAGTCCTCTTGTCCAAATAGCTCCAAAGCTGTACATCAAGGCAGTGAAGCTCATTTTATTACACAATGGTATAAAAGTGGACAATGCGATGTTCTGGAATAATAAAGTCAATGGAAACCTCCACCCTTGAGGTGCAGTTAGCGAAATTTCAGTTTGCAAAAACAAACTGCCGTTGTCAATAGTGTAATGATGTATGAAGCACAGATTACAAATAAGTCACTTTCAAACCAAGTAGCTTTCGTTTGTTAGCTCAGCAAATTCACTTGACTAAATTGAACATGAGTGAAATATGCATGGGGAACTTTTCACCCTCACGTAAAACTCCTGTTCATGTGGATTCCTATTGAAATGATTTCATCCACAAAATCTCATCAAGCAACAATGTGACCGCACCTTTAGAATAAAAAGGGAAAGACCCAGTCGAGACACAATCCATTATAAATCAAGGCAACAGAGCAAGTCAGGCAAAAATAACTCTTGAGGAAACGTGTGTGGCTTTACTAGGCCAGAACAATGGGACGAGAGGGCGGCTCGAGAAACAGCCTCATTCCGGAGGTCAGCGATGGCTACAGTAGAGGGAAACTAGCGATGACCCCCAAGGAGCTTGTGGAAGACTCGTGGCTTCCTGCCCTGGTTCATGCCTCCTGCGCCTCCTCCAGTGTGAAGAGGGGCTCTAGTGCACAGGATAGGGGTCGCAGGGCTAGAGAAGGTTGGGGGTTCAATGAGGGAAAGGTTCCTGTCCAGGGAAATCCTGTCTTTCAACTGCATCACGTCGTGGTTCAGGACCCTCACTGTGTCTTCGGGCCCCTTAGGGACTGTTAGCTCAAAAATGCAGATTGTCTGACAAAGCAAGCCACACTTCCTTAACACTTTATGATTGAACTCGAGGTCACAGAAGAGCGTACGCCAGGAGCAGAAGAGTTTCCGAACTGCAGAATCAGGCCAAAGATTATCAACACTTTTAAGAATAAAGGTTCTTTATTGGCATTGATGGTTCCATGAAGAACCTTTAACATCCATGGAACCTTTCCATTGCACAAAAGGTTCTTTTTAGTAGAAAACTGTTCAAATGTTCTTCACATAAAAAAAAAACTGAAAGGTACTTTGAGGAACCCAAAATGGCCCCCTTTTAGAAGCTTTATATTTAAGAGTGTAAGCAGCATCTTCAGACACCTGAGTTTCATCCTGCGTGAGAAGCGAGACTAAAGACTGAATATAGTGGGTTGTAGAGGCATGTCGGCGGTATGCATGATGCGATCGCACCGGATCTATGGGTGTGAGACCAGGAGGACTCATCCTCCCTGATGAACAAAGCATCCCTTCATGAGCGGCTCTATTCTCTCCATTGTGAGCGCTGGTTTTAGGGCTGTCTCAAGCTCTCCCTCTCTCAGGCCTGTCACTGGAGCTAAATGACTTCCCTGTCATCAGCTGAACCCACAGCCGGTTCAGCTGCAGGCATTCAGGCGAGCTGAGCTGACAGCTCGCTCCTGATCACAGAGGCTCACAGAGGCACATCTTAAATGGTATGCAGTAAATTAAATGAGGCTGAGCTACATTATGGCCTTAATGGGAAAACATTACCTGTCTGTCAGAACTAGAATGCCACATTGTCTAAAAGCAATGACACACTGAATATGTCTGTGTGTGTGTGCACCTGGTATACCCTACATTAAGTTTAGTAATACCAGTAAATTTTGACCTTGTGGGGACATTTTTGGTCCCCATGAGGAAACAAACTTATAAATCATACAGAATTAAGTTTTTTAAAATCAAAAAATGCAGAAAGTTTTTTGTAAGTGGTAGAGTGAGGGTAAGGGGATAAAAACTTCAGTTTGTACAGTAGAAAAACCATTATGCCTAAGGAATGTCCCCATAGTGATAGGAATACCAGTGTGTGTGTGTGTGTGTGTGTGAGATATGTTAATTTCAGTGTTGTTTACATGTTATTTTCGGGGTCCATGAAAGTATGTATGTATAATTGGTTTGCGAACTGATCTGAACTGAAGAAAGTTTGCAAAAAAATAAAAAATAAAAAGAGAAATAATTGAAATATAAATTCCGTTTGTTTTGACAGAAATGAATGATTTTATTCAGCAAGGACACATTAAATTGATCAAAAGTGGCAAAAAATACTTTTATATTCTTTTTCAAATAAATGTTGTTCTTTTAAATTTCTTATTCATCAAAGAATCTCTTAATAATTGTATCACAGTTTCCACAAAATATTAAGCAGCAACTGTTTGAAACATTGACAATAATAATGATGATAATAATAATAATAATAAATGTTTTTGAGCAGCAAATTGGTATATTAGAATGAAGACTGGAGTAATGATTCTGAAAAGTCAGATTGGCATTACAGGAATAAATTACAAATAAATTATAAAAATAAGAATTGGAGAAAGAGTTTTCTTATTGTATTTTAAACATACATTTTGAGTTTTAAATCAGTAAACAAATGAAACAATTGTATTATCTAAATGTGCCATCTGGGGGCAGAAGCTCTAAACTAAACTTGAAGTGTGGGACTCTCCATAGGCGTAATGGCTTTTATACTGTACAAACCGTATTTTCTATCGACACCAACCCTACACCTTAACCTACCCCTTACAGAAAACTGTGTGCATTTTTAGATTAAAATAATAATAATAAATAAAAAAAAATTAAAAAACAACATTTATTATGTTTTTTAATCCCTTTGAATTATGGAGATAGGCAGTGTCCGCATAAACCACCCAAACACACACACACACATTTCCGTTCTGACTCCTGATTAATGTGATTTGAGAATTTAATAGTGCATCAAATTACTTAATAGTTTTTTTTTTGGGTTTGTGGTTTGTTGGTTTTACACTTGATCTTGGTGTCAGTACATTT